GCCTTCCTTCTGACTTTTCTGTCTTTGCTCTTGAAATTTTCCCATTTGGATAATTATGTTAAGAAGTTGATCTGCTTGTTCTGTCTAATTCTAACAAATAATCCATTGTACATACGCATGCTAACGCATTCTCAAAGATCCATAACTGTTCTTGAAATCCCAGAAATAATCTAAAAGTTTCCGATAACTTGAAAGCTTGGTGAGGACCCGGGCGATACTTATGTAGTTCTTAAACCATTGCTTCAGATTTCAAAAAAAAAAGCACTGGATACGACTCAACAAACTCACGCGAAGTTATATAATTCCAAGCTGAACAAAGAAAATAGAATTAAGAGACTGCTTATTCTAATGGATAAAACTACCTAGTACCGTGGTTCTCGAAGTTATACATAACTCTCATCGATTCAGTATTTTTTGTGTTACAGACAGAAGTACAACAGAAAATGTTTTGTTAAATCGCAGTTATGCCACAAACGACATCTAATTTTTCAAGTAGATCGTGCGGGTCTTAGATTGGAATTTCCTAACAAAGACAGGATGTTTGAAGTAGCATTCAAGAAGTCATGTAGGTCTTGAAACGCGGGTTTCAATCCTGTCTTTCACATGTGGCAAACGTCTCTAAAATAAGCTATATTTTTAATGTTTTACAGGACATGTAATGCCCAGACGCTCAACTTTACCCAAAACAGCAGCCAGATGTTGATTATCAACATTTAACTTTTTTTCAGAAGAAACACTTCATGTTGTTGTTTCCCGTAGAATTTGGTTTCTGGAGTAGTTACTGGCAGGTCATACACCCTATGGCGAATATGAACGGCAGCCAGAAACAGCATTTTAAGTTGCATCCTCTAAAACGTATCCCATTCACTACACCAATCAAATACCTTGTAGGAATGATGCGCACAAGTTGCTTTAATTAATCAAAAATCCCCGAAAGTCATATAGTCTTCCAATTTCTTGGAAAAGTATGCGGAAATTTTCTACAAATTTTGGTGTATCGATAATGATATAAGATCCTACAAGCTTCTTGCATCTTCGGGGTCTCTACAACATAACATTTTGCTCTCTGGTAACACTAATTGTTACTGACAGTCTATTCCACTTATCTGCTCATCAATCATTTCTTGAAAGTGTATCCTCTGTAACCTGTCACGTTCGATGCTAGAGAATATCTAGAACATGAAAATGTTGTAACAGATTACAAAGAAATGATCTCCAAAAAGTGACCCAATATTGTCGATATGACCCAAATTGATCTCAAATATCCCCATTGACATTAACGTAGCACTTGTAGGTCTTCCGGCATCGTTCCTAAATCATTGCGTGTTAGTAATCTCCTTAAGGAGTTCGATTCTCCTCAATTCAATGGATACGAAAAGGAATAGCCGCTTTGAGGTCAAAAGTTGTTGCACAATTATTTTTTATTGCAACTGTTTATGGAAAGCGTAAGATCATAGGAAATGAAGCTAACTGTCAATAACGGCATTGAAATTTTGATGGTTCATGAACATAAACTGGATTACCAGCAAAGTTTACCGAACTAATAACAAAAATGTGGAAATTATAGCTAACGTCGCACTGCGTACACAAATACTTTTTTTCAGGTCTTCAAAACTGAGTCTCCAGATGAGTTGGAAGTTGAAACAATTACGAAGCCGAAAAGCGCTAGTGAACCGC